TGAAATTTTTACATTCTCCACCCATCTGCGTGGGTGTCGTCTGGGTGCTCCATTTTCTTCCTACAGCCCAACGATGTGCAGGTTGGACTGGCCATGCTAAATTGGCCCATAGTGTCCAGGGATGTGTAGGCTAGGTGGATCAGCCGTGGTAAGTGCGAGAATAGGGTGGGATACCCTTTGGATGGCCCAAATGGGCTCTATTTTGATGGGCTAAATGACCTCTATCTGCACTGTAGGGATTCTACGCTTTTATATGTTTCACTTAAGACCCCTCTGTCTCTTCTAAGCTCCAGAGGATATGGGCTTAGCCTATCTAGCCTTTCCTGATAAGGCAATCCACCCATTCCAGGTATTAGTCTAGTAAAACTTCACTGAACTGCTTCCAACACATTAATGCTCTTCCTTAACTACAGTGACAAGTACTGTACACAGTAGTCCAGATGTCATCTCACCAATGCCAATATAACTAAAGCATAACCTCCCTACTCTTGCATACAATTCCCCTCGCAATAAACCATATCATTCTGTTAGCTTTCCTGATTACAAGATCTCTGTGTACCCAATTAAGACATTTGGTCATCGAACCTAATGATGTCCTTCTTTTCAGTCTGATGGGAATGTTTCACATCTGCACCTGATCTCTGCCTTGTCTGGGAGCCTCCAAATGATTGTTTGCAGTTTTTAAAAAGATGTTGATGTTTATAAAAATGGACACTGTAGATTTCACTGTCAGTATTGTTTGAGTTTTAACAGCCCCGTCTGGCCACAGTAACCTGGAACAAACAGTGTCTTGATAGATTGAAATTTTTATTGCCTGTTTGCCACTTTAAACTCAGTGAGGAGCTCTATTTCCCAGAGCGAACCTGGGCTGGATTTAATGCTCACCTGTTGACAGGTTTGAAGAGTACCTTAAATCCAGCAGAAAGATTGCCTGCTGCGTACCCACCTGCTCCTGCCCCCACCCGAATTATACCAGTTCTGGGAGTGGTATGGACAACACTCGTCAATAAGCAAAATATTGCCTTTAACAGGGAAATTAATGCCCAATTAAGGCCACATCCCACTATGAGCAGTATTTATCAGGCAGTGGGAGAGGCCCAGACAAAGTGACTCGTATAATTCAGGCCGCAGTTCAGATTCGGAAACTGCCATTTCCCTACTTCCTTCTGAAATAACAAACTCCACCACAAGGTGATGCCAGACATCCAGCTGACACATTCATTGATAACTATCCCTACTTTGAACAGCTGGGTGAACTGTTTGCTGAAGACTAACTGGAGAGGTGGGCCTAAAATCGGGAGGGATCTCTTCCCGCTGTGGGAGCTGTCGGTTTCCCTGTGGGATTTTGTCCTTCTCAGCTCATTGCATATGGATATATGGGTAAATGCAAGAAAACTTACAAACAAGAAGACCACCCCCTGCTCTCCCCCACAACCCTGGCCAGGACTGCCCACACTCCAAAATCCAGGTGTCATATTTAAAAGGTAGCACTTCATTCTCTGCAACCCAGGATCCTCACTCAACCCCTGCTCATCACCGCCACCCAGCCCTGGAGATGTTGGAGATCAGGCAGAAAAGTGACACCTCCCTGGAGGTGCCCCTGAAGGCTGTACTGGAGAGAAAGGGATGTTCTTTTCCCTGTGGGTGGCGACAGGAGGCCATTCTGACAGGGCAATGGCGCCTGCAGAGATCAGTGCCCGAGGGGTGACTCAAGAGAATGTGTCTCCTGTGCCACAAGGAAATGAATGATCTGTCCCACTCTGCCAAGCAATGTGCCAGTGTCTGCTCAATGCTTCATGCCCCTTGACTGTGAGTTAGCAACGTGAGGTTGCCACTGCAGAGGTCAATCACACTGGAGTTTGGGTGCTTGGCATCTCCATGAGATCCTCACGTGCAGTCAATATCTGTTATTCATCACAGCTACCTGGTAGTGCCGGGGCACAGAGATGGTCCCACCTCTCGCTCCTCTGCCAGGGTTCACACACACAGCAGGTCCCACACATTAGCTCGCTGCCCTTTCACCACAGCTAGGAGAATGTGCTGACAGCTTCTCACCAGGGCTTGCATGGAATGAGGACACAACCACAAAAAGATGATCTTTAGAGCTGAGATAACACAGTGTGGAGCTGGAGGAACACAGCAGGCCAGGCAGCATCAGAGGAGGAGGAAAGCTGACATTTTGGGTCGGGACCCTTCTTCAGAAATGGGGGAGGGGAGGGGAGCTCTGAAATAAATAGAGAAGGGTGGGGCTGGGGAAGGTAGGTGGGATGGTGATAGGTGATTGCAGGTAGGCAGTGGTGGGGATTGGTCAGTGAGGTGGGGGGAGCGGATAGGTGGGAGAGAAGACAGACAGTTCAAGGAGGCGGGG